GCCGCCTAATTGATTTACTTAGCGTAGTCCTGGGAGCTTACCGAGAATATACTACTGTGCTGACGAGAAGCATAGTTTGGCGAGAATCTATACTTATTGAGATATTCGGTGAACGATCCTTCATTCCGGAGTCATAGGTTGAATTTGGCAACTGAATATGGAAGTCAACAGTCATCGTTCAACGACTGAAATTTCGCAAATTCGAGTTATTTTTATCCAGATTTGTATCAAAATTCGAATAGTTCAGGCAAATCCGACATTATCCGATGGTCGGTAAGCCTCGTTGCTTAATTTTACGCGACAAGCGCAAGTCACGTTCAGCTTGTGATTGCGGCTTCAGTGAAAACTTTGATAAAAAAATACGTCGAAGGAATCATCGAGGGTGATTAGTTCTTGGACAACCAGGGTAAACCTGGAAAATTCAGGGTAAAGTCGAAAATTGAGAATTTGCACGCAAATAATGATGTTATATATTGCTTCATCTGAGAGTGCTTAAAGAGCTGATCAGCCTAATTTTGCAACATTTGCCATAATTTTTTACTGATTTGGAACATTGTACGAAAATAGATTTAAAAGTGAGAAAATGCGCCGTCTAGTGTCTTCATCCGGCGGCATTTTCCAATTACGCACATGCATGTTAGCAGATTCGATCATTTTGTCATATCTTCCAATATGTGTTCAGTTAATGCACTAATGATATCTTCATGCTTAGTTCACCCCGTAGTTTCCGCTCGAAGACGAAATTCATCAAATTCCAGACACCTGCAATTTCTCCATTTTGCGCAACGCCAAAAAATGCTTTACCCAGTTAATGCTCAATTCGATAACACGGTAATACGGTTCATAAGGCAAAACTTTGATTTCTCACCAGTGAGCGATTTACGGACGGGAAAATGTCAGCGGCTCGGCGCACAGTGGGAAGAGTCTTCTCAAGAAGTCGGGCATGAAATTTGTGACTAAAATTGTAAATTTTCAATGTTTATCTAGTAATATTTTAAATTTTTAGGGGTGCTTTACGTTGAAAATTTTACGAGAAAACCGATGAAACCTTTTTCGTAACATCGAAACCTTGTATTAACGGAGTTCGAAGCTTTTAAAGTTTCCGCATTTTGTCCGACTGCACCGACTGACTCCTTCCACTGTGCGGCGCGGCGGCGGATTCGGATTTCGGCTCCGTTTCCCACGCGCTGAAAGTTCGTGCGGTGAACTTGGGATCGTGGTGACGGACCGGACTGGGCGACGACGGAAAGGAACGCGTCGCGCCGGAACGTGTGCGGTGTTGGAAACGGAGAGAAGACAAAAGTTCCGACGGGTCGTGCGTTCTAATCCCGTTCGTTTTCTTTTCCCCCGCTCACGATTCCGACCGCGGATGTTCGCGGCTCCAACCCAACACACGCCGCGGATCTCCCACACTCGCTGGAGTACTCCTTCGCCAAGAGACGATATGCTTTAAAGACCCTGCATTGCTTGCTTTCCTGCATTGCACTGAAAACTCGTTTACTAACCTAATTTCCAAGACTTGGCTAACTACTTCATGGTTGCCGGGAAAACCGGGAAAATCAGGAAAAGTCAGGGGATTCGCTACGACTGAGAAAAGTCAAGAAATTAGACAATTTTGGAATTGGCAAAAAGCGAAAAAGTCTTTCAAAAGTCAGAGAAAGTCAGGGAATTTGAAGATCAAAAACTTATGGAAACCCTGTGAGCGCTTTCCCCAACATTCATTTCGACCAAATAACCAGGGTTAAGTGCAGTAAAATTAACTCCTTGACCTCAATTTTTTCGACATTGACGCATCGGAACTTCGATTTTCAAAGCTCACTGTTATTAGTATTTCGTAAAAAAAAATCGTATTATCAAATAGTTATAAAATTTAGTCGGCGCCTAGTCTTTCGTTTTTCCGTGCAGGGTCCTTAGTCGTTAAAAGCAAAGCGAAGCGAATATATTGCCACTGCCATGACATCATAGTCGGTCTTTATCGTTGCAAAGTCGCAAATCAGGAGGGCCGGCATGATTGCGCTGATCTGTTAACGTTAAAGCAAGCGCGGATTTTCCATCGCCCATGGCTGATTACATCAGTGCTGCCAGGTTTACTGTGTACAGGGTGATCCGAAAGTCCCGCGCCACCCCTATCATCTCTAGGGTTCTTACCCCTTTTCATTTTCAAATGTGCACCGGAAGGCCAATCTGTATACATCATGTCTTCAAAATTGGAAGAGTGCCTTCAAATTGTAGAGTAGGCAAGAAGGGGCACCGTAATGTGCGATTAGTTGTCTACTCTGGAGCTAATCGACTTGCCTCCGGGATAAGCTTATGGAGATATTATGGCTCGTATGATACTTTTGTATGTTCTGTATGACATTTTCGGTACTGGTTTGACAGTTTGGAGCCCAACCTCGAGTCAAACTTGTACAGGTACCTAGAATGCTGTCAAATTGTAACTAAAGCACACATCCGTAACAGACAGAGGTAACAAACCCGGTCGTGATAAGATCACCTACCCAGGGAGAGATTGAACATGTCGGTAATTTTGAAGGTTTGGTCATGGGAGCTCTCAGGGCCCAAAAGGGTAGCCAACCTATGAACTCAAATTATCCACAGTGATTTATTAATACAATTTATACGACTTGGCGTTTGTAAAGCACGAATTTGACGTAGTTGTGTGTAAAGTTCATAATTTCTGCGGGAGGACGCTCATTTATGAACATTCCTGGCCATCTTCGTCTGATATTGGAATTTGAATGTTGGCAGTGTCATTTTTCGTGTTAGACGGTTGGCTGCCCTTTTGGGCCTTATACTTTGATACGTCCGTACTCTCCTTCTGTAGACATTCCAGTCGTGACTATCCCATCGGCACTCGGTTTTCCGGAAGTGCGAACTCTGGCATCCGCGGGAGTGACCGGGCAGCTTTTCGCCGTCCGTCACGGCCTCGCACGGCGCAGCCCGCGGCCGCCGCTGATAAGACGCTTTATTACGTGGTGAGAGCCTTTAAGCCCGGTTCACACTGCCGATCCCGCGGTCCGTTTGTGCCTTTATCTCGGCTACGTGCAAACAGCACGTAATTCACACAGCGGGCCGCGGCCGTAATCTCGGCGCGGGACATGCCCCGTTCGGCTTATTTTAATCTCGGAACACGTGTAAAACCCTCCTTGCCGCGTCGAAGCGCCCGAGAACCTACTCCACCGTATTGCGGAAGGGGGCAGTAACTCCGTTGCCATTTGAACCGCGGATGGCGTGTGCTTTTGTGCGCTTTGCGGCGCACTCTAAGGTGGAGTTACTGCTGTCTTCCGACGGGTGACGCTCGGATCGCTGCGCGACCTGGCAAGCGGGTTGTATACCTATTTAACCGCTTTTTAAATCGATCCTAGCTTAATGGCTTCATTTACCGCCGCTGAGCGCATATCCGACGCGGCTGCCAGCATAAACATCGCCGCCACTCGAAGTTTCATTAGTTTTGCTCCGACTTTGACATCGATATATGTCCCGATACATCCCTTATCTCCGCTCGTTCCGAGTCACCCAAGTCCAATTTCGCGCTTTCGTCACACACTTTCGGTTTCGCGCCGCAAACCACCGCAATTTTCAGTTGCCTTATTATTCTTTCTTCTCCTAACACAGCCCCCCGCCCCTCACCTCCGGTCGCTGCTGTTTCTATTTTATGAACTCGTACTTCCTCAGTGGTCGGTGAGGTTCAAGTCTGTCAGAGTCATTGACAAACGGTGCCAAATTGTCTCTTTTTTTTCTTTGCGTAGTTGTTCCACTCTAGTTTCACCGATAGAGTTTATCAAATATGATTTGAAAGGGCCCGGGGATGGGTGAAACATTCGGGTGGCGGAAAATCCAGAATAACATTAATAAACAAATTTAAATGTTTAATAGGTTTTTATTTTGCAGAATGCTACAGTATTTTTAACCCCTTTTTTTTCTCTGGTGAGAGAATTTGTTTGAAAAAGTGTTAACAAACTGTTGACAACAATAAAGTCGCTGAAAAAATTTGAGAGAGTTAATCTTTTAAGTATATACTTTAAAATATCTAATTTCTGAAATTAATAATTGTTCCATAAATCCAATTTTTACAATTTTTTCTCAAATCCATACTACTGACGAAAATGATTCCGAGATTTCTAGAGAAATCAATATTCTGAATCGACGCCTATGACATTTGACAACCAGGGTTCTCTCGCGCTTCTGAAAGCTAATTTTACAAAACAATGGTGATTTAATAGTCACATAAAGATTTCAGTATCGCAGTATTATCTTCGACCGTTCGAACGGTCCGCTTTTCTTGTTTCCTTCACACGTTTATTCAATTTGCGCAATCTGTGGTCATGTTTTGAACGTTCTCTCCAAATGGGCTATTAGCGCCTCCCTCAAGACAGCGTCGGCTTACATCGGCGCTAATTTTCAAACGTGACAAGAAACTACACTACTCCCAACACTTTCATCACCATTTTCCATTTCTGCTCTCTGCTGTTTTCTACACTGTGTTACGGTCATTCCTCACACGGCATTTCGATCTAACAATAGGAAACTGACTTTACTTATTTGAATTACTTGTTAAAATCTCTTTCAGGAGTGGCAATTTTGCAAGTTGGCAACACTGTTTTTCCTCCGTTTAAATGTATGTGAAACAATCGATTCTTGTAAGGCAGCTTACCGAGCTTAAAATCGATATTTTCAATGGATTTAAATGGAGGTTAAACAGTGTTGCCAACTTGCAAAATCGCCTCTGCGTACTCGTGTGTCGTCCTACGTATAGGATTTTGAAGAGAACACATGTGACGGGTTTTTTAGTTCGGACCTTATCTAGTGGCCTATTATCATTTAATTTTTGTCGCCTTCAACTTTTAAGTATCAATGATTTATAGGTGCGAGAGCTGTTTATTTTTAGTATAATTTACGTTATTTTTCGATTAAATGGTGTCATTGAGAATTACGTGTGGTTGCCTTACAAAATCCGGTTTCTCCGGTTCTAATTTCAATCTAACTCTCGTTAATTTCAGGTAATCTGGTGCTAAAAATGACGCTCGTGATTCGGGAGGACTTATTCAGGTAACAACGTTGACAAACTTCGTAACTAGACCATAATAAACAGATTGCATGGAGACATCAACTGGTTTCAAATACCCCACGAGGAATACAGATTTTTCTGCCGACCCTGTTTCAGTATGAGAAATTTTGAGTGATTTTTTTCGCCCAAAGTTCTTATCATCATTTCCTCTTCGTCTCTGGAGGTAATCGCTTTTATCCAACTGTTGGAACATTCAACATTGTTTCGACAGGCGTGGAGTGACAAAGCAACATCACCAGTACGCAAGTGAGGTGGGATAATCTCCATCCACATCAATGATTCACTTAGTACAGTGTTATTTCGTAAGTTTGGGGCCTTTTGGTATTTTTTTCACTTTTTGTTTTGGTTTTTTTTTTCGCTTCTAAGTTCTGTCTTGTCGTATTTTTTTTTTCGTCAGTCTTATCCTTGTACTTTGTATCTCCCATCACATTGGTTTCATCCCAAGTATACGTATTTAATTTGGTGTGGTCGAAAGCAGGTCTTTAGAATTCAAGAAAGAAGGAGACCTTCTCTCAGATTCAATTCATACCAGTTGTTTTCGCTTTCCACTGGAAGGAGACTTCGGTTACTTCACCGTGACTTCGGTCGGTACGGTATCCCAGAGTCTTGGTTTTGGCAACCATTTTCAGCAAGAAAGATGGGTCTCAGTATGGCTCCCGAAAATTCTGGTTACCTGAAGGGAATGTAGGTTTCTTTGCTCGAAAACCAACACCGATAAAAATATTTGTATTTTTGTGTTACTTTTGGTTCATACAGGAAGTGAAACACCAATCGACCCAACTTTTGTGTTTGGTATGGTTCAGTTTCCATTGAATTTTCCATTGAATTCAGCGCTGAAAGCGAAAGAAAAACTGAGACTCTTCAGAACCAACCTAAGGCTAGTATTCATTTGTTTTCAGTTTCTCATACGTAGTAGTACCGAAACTTCTGTGTTATTTCCTATGTAAGTGAACTTTTGAACTTAAAAACTTTGGTGTACCGTATGACCCAGAGTTTTCCGTAGCGTTTGTTCTGCCGTGCTAAGGAGGAACGCAGTATAAAAATTCGAATGTTGCCAAATTTTCTCTGGTAAAACAATTTTTCGAAGAAAGTTAATGTTTATTTTTCCTTGAAATTTTCAAATAATTTAGATTAAATTGCGAACATAACTGTCTGTAAGATCGTAAGAAAAATATTGACAACTTTCCTAATAAATTCGTATTTTATCAAAGGAAATTTAGCTACGCCTGCGGGATCATACGAGGTTTTTCCTTTTATTTGCAGACCAGTGTTTCTGTAGGACGCAAACAGTTGGAAATGTAGGGGGATCGTTAATGTACAGCACCTTTTGCCTCCGCCGTCCTCAAACCGAGACAGCTCGTTTGTGATAACATATTCAGCACGACACGGTGCTCAGCTTTGAGTGTTCACGGTGTCACACGGAACTTGGTGTCAAGGAAAAACGCCGTATAAACCTCCGGGCGTTGCCAAATTCCCGCTGAAAAACCAAGTTTTCTTCACGATCTATGAAAATTCTTCTCTGAATTTTTTTACAAAATTTTGTTTGTAAGTCAATCTAATTCGTCTTAAAAACGTCAAGAAAAATTGTCCTTTACCATCCTCAGAAATAAAAAAATTGTTAGAAGAAATTTAGCAACCCTCGTGTGGTCTTACGGCGTTTTTTCCGAGCCGTTGACAACCGCAGCGCTCGCGCTAATGAAAGAAAATACGGAACTATTCGTCGCCTTCCTGACATAAGGGCGTAACTGCACTCTGCAATGAACCCTGTCTTCCATACAATTCAATGCTTTTCCGGGCTCATCTCAATGTGTAGTTACGCCCTTATGTCAGCCAAGCGACGAATTGACGTGACGACCGAACTAAAGTCAATGAACCAAACCGACGCGTCGTGTCGCGACGCTGTCGTGAGTACGTCATGCTAAGGTAGAACATCGTGTAACCCTACAGACGTTGCCATATTTCCGTTCTTAAAACACAAGTCTTCAGAAAAATCTATGAATATTTTCCTGCAAATTTGTTAAAGAATTTTATTTACAAAAAGATCTAAATTTTCTGGAAATCCCCAGATAAATTGTTCATAATGGAGATGTTGCTTGTGTGAGGAATTTGCGATTTGACTGTTGATTCTTATGCAAAATTTCGTGAGAAACACGATGGTGCCACCGATTTTTTCTGAAATCAACTCCCAAGCTCAAAAAAAGCTCTCAAGTTGAGGCCCAAATGGAAGGTATATCCCACGTTATCCTGAGAGTCCACCTCTACATCAAGACAAACTCTCCATGCAAAGATAGGGAGCAAATACATTAGCAGGGTTGCCGTGTTTTCAGTTTTGGAGTCCCCAAATGAAGTGGCAGCAGGCAGCCCTATCAATGTATTTGCTCCCTATCTTTGCATGGAGAGTTTGTCTTGATGTAGAGGTGGACTCTCAGGATAGCGTGGGATATCCCCTCCATTTTGACCTCAACTTGAGAGCTTTTTTTGAGCTTGGGAGTTGATTTCAGAGAAAACCAACGGCTCAATCATGTTTCTCACGAACTTTCACAGAAGAGTCCATAATCAAATCGCAAATTCCTCACACATGCAACATCTCCATTCTTCTTAACAGTTAACATTTTACCAGAGGAAATTTGGCAACGGTCGAATGCTCATACGACGTTTTTTTCTAGCACGGGAGTGTTGTACTCCGCAACTTGGCATCCATCGGATAGCGGTTTGTTGCTGCACTGCGAAAAATAGTGCGTCCATCGTCATGAGAGGTTTGGCGCGGTGTGCAGTCGAAAAAACTTTCGATACGCTTTGGTTCCCCGTCTCTTCCCCCTCTGGTTACATCTTTGATGCTTTGACGTAAAGTCGTAACTCTATTTTCACATGAGCCCCAGAAAGGATAGAGTTGTACGGAGCCCAGAACTCACGTGGAAATCAAGATACGTCATTAAGCCAGAGAGTCGACGACATTACACGCTCCTCTAATTCGTCTTTTATTGTGTCGTGTGGAGCAAATTATGAATGAGGAGTAATTGATTTTATTGCCTCGGTCCGGTTATTGGCGCTCAGTTGTAAATCACATTCCTCGTAGGTTGAAACGTGCAGTGGCGAAGCGTTAACGAACGATAATCGATATTTCCCCATTTGATGCTATGGTAAATAATCGATTATGATAGTGTTCGTTGCGATCAAGCTGTTTATCGATCCTTATTCTTAGGTTTAAATGGCAGATCAATCGATGCATCGCAAAGCACGTCACGCGACTGGAAACGTGGTCGGTCCAGTTGATGACGTTGGAAAAAGTGCGTATGGAGCCGAATGGATAATCAGCTCGGACGCCGTGTACAATGTGGTCTAATTGGACGTGTTTATGCTAAATGGAACTATGTGCAGATTAATTAAATCACATTAAAAATCGATGGCCAAAGTGCGAAACAGCGTATGTCCGTTTGCGACGTTCCAGACTTCATGTCATTTCTATTCATGTCGCTTTAAAGCACTCCTTACGCACTACGTCCTTACGTCTTTTAAAGCACTACTTGGAAGGGACGCTCTTAAACGTATTCCCTTCAAAAACACCAGTCATGGTGCTAAGTACAGCAAAAGTAGCATTAACATACTTTCAATGCGTTTCTTTTGAAGAGGTTGTGAGGTACACTGTTAAATTTCACCCCTCTTTTCCTCATAGGATAATTTATACATTCAAAACCACATGGTATTTTCATCATGAACCCCGAAAATTTCACCTAAGAAGCAATTAGCGATTATGCAACAGCACCGGCGCGCGGCGGCGCCGCGGTTTCATCAGATGCGCTTCGCGTTCCAAGAACTTCGAAAATGCGTTTTGTCATAATACTGTCATGGAGGAAGAAAAGGAGGAAAAAGAAAGTTTATAAATCATGATAAGTTGACATTTTTCGAACGAACGAAACAAAAGCCTCGCCACTCCTGCCAAACCGTGCAAAAGTTTGGTTAGCTTCGGAATAACTCGAGCCTTTGGCTCATTCAGGGGTTTCCCGGTTTTTCAGTGGCACTTTACGATGTATCGATTATAGATTGCTCTGCTATTCAGACCTACGGAATAGGATCGATAAACATTGTTTTCATAACAAACACCTTTATAATTGATTCTTTACTACAGGCTCAAATGGAAAGATATCGACAATCGATAATTCACGCCTCCCCATTATAATTTTTTTTTTTTTTTTTTTTTTTTTTTTTTTTTTTTAAGTTATTTGTCTATTTTCTCCGATTGAAATTTAAGAAAACTGCAGCGAAATCAACATAAAATTAAGGTTGGATCGTGTAAGCCACCTACTTTAACTGAAATTAACATAAGAACGCAACTCATCCTCTCAATATATCCTCGTCTCACGATTAAATCTGCCGTATACTGCCTAATTAACGCTTCATTGAATCAATTTAAAACCGCAATCAAAACGTACCCTATCGTGCTTGAAGCTCCATCGTCCATGACGATATTGGTTCGCTGGTATCGATCATTATCTCTGAAATGACTACTCGTGTCATGTAATCTTCCCACTAAATTACAAGGCCTTGCGTTTCGTCTCAGTATCAAAAACTATAACTTATACAGCCGAGTAAATATCTTATTTTCAAAAACTCGAAAAAGGTGAGTAATTTGGCATTCTGTAGGACTGGTGGCTGGTGATCAGTTGAAGCCGAGCCCCCGAAATATCCTTGGGTACACAGTAGCTCCTCTGTTCAAGTTTCCAAATTTTTATACTTCCCCCACAAAAAATTCTCAAATTGAAAAAAACGCAGCTCTTCTACTTTCTTAGTGAGCATTTCCCGGAAATTTGTAAGCGGCAAACGTGTTAACTCGTCAAATTGAAATAATTCACATCGACATAGTGCAGGTTTCATCAGTATAGAATTTCAAAAGCATCGCCTTGACTTGGAGCGCCTTCAAAGCCCGATGACACTTTCCGCTTTGCCTAGTAGTTAGTTTAGTTGCTTAACCTAACCAAACCCA